TGAGACCTTTCGCCTTCCCCATTTCGGGTTTGTTTTCTTTTTTTTTTTGCAGCGTTGCCCCCAAAACGCAGCGGGGAATCGTCCCGCTTTGTGTCCCCGGGGTTTGTGTCCACCCCCAAACGGCCCCGTGTGGGGTGTGTAGGGAGTGTAGGATGTATAGGGTGTGTAGGATGTATAGGGTGTGTAGGGTGGAGGTGTAGAGGAGCGACCCCGCTGCCGCTGGGACGCGGCCCGGAGGCAGCGCCGGCGCTGCGGGATGTTTACCGGCCCTGCGCGGCCGCCGTGAGCATCCGCGGATGCAGCGCGGCGGGGAAGGCGCCCGCTCCCCGCTGGTGCAGCGCCAGTAACCAGGATGTTTCATAGCTGGACGGGCGGTTCGGGCTCGCTAGATGCGCTGGAATACGTGGTTTGAGTTTGTGCAGCGACAGCAGAAATCGGCTGTCTGTGGGACGCAGAAAGGCCGGGACAAACCCTTGGTTGTGGCTGTTGACAGGTGCCTTCTGGAGCGTGCACGGGCACAAACGATCTGGGAGATTAAGCGGTAGGAAGGAAGGCTAGAGGAAAAATAAATGGCATGTGGGACCGTGCCAAGAGTTTCCCGCAGAACTGTATGGTAAAAGCAGCAGTGGGAGTGAGCTCGGACCCATCTAAACGGGGCTGGTGGTGTCACAGGACACACGCTGCTGGGACAGTGCTCGTTTGGAAGGAGCGTGAGTGTACCCTCGGCTCCCTGCCTCCTGTTTGCTTGGATTTTTCATGCATCTCTAGCCCTCGTCCGCCTTTCCATCCTGCTCCCTCCAGGAGCACTTTCCTTGCTCCATGATCTCTGTGCAGCTTCACGTAGCTTCTACTTCTGTGCTGTAATGACCTGCCTGAAGAACGTTTTGGTTTCATTCAGCAGCTGAAACCTCCCCTACCCCACCCCTCTCACCATCTTCCTTCGCATCCGTGGCGTCTGGCCCAGGATGTGCAGTCCTTACCCACCGGCAGGTTTTTCTTCCGCTACCTTGCAGCCAGGAGCCGGCGCTCGATTCTGCTGGGAGAGGAGGTGCTTTAGCTCGTGGTTGCATCAGCTTCCAGCTTTGGATCTTGAGCTGAGGTCTGTACAAAGCACTCCTGGCTGCCATCCCCTGCCTCTGCCTTCGCTGGCAAGAGCAAAAGCTGTCGGATGGCTTCAGTTTTTTTTCTTTTACACGTTAGGAAGTTTGGGGCCCTGGAGGCTTCTCACCCTTAGTGCTTGCTGGTGGTTGCCCCGGCCTGGTGCTCAGCTTGTAAGCGTGATGAGCAGGCGACCTTCAGCGCAAGGGCAGGCTGCCACGGCCATGGGCAGCAGCGTTCAGAGGCAAGAGGAGTGTAAGGGGCAGGAACAGTGAGTGACATAAAAACCCCCACATTGTGCAACTTTGAAATGCCCTTGCCGAAGCACAGACTTAAATTCCCAATGTGGAAAGCTAGAGGGAAGTGAGCAAACCCGGGTGCCTTTATGGAGCGGACTGAAGTATGAAAAAAAAAACAGGCAAAAAGTCTGTTTTGTGTTTATCTCTTTCAAATCATCATTAGCCCTGTGACAAATTGTGCCTCATAAAGACAGCAGCTCTTGGGCTCCTCCTGCACGCTGTTTTTTCTTGGCAAAAGGCAAGACGTAGCTATTACTGGAATAAGCTGAAGCCCCTCAGACTCGTGGGCATAGGCAAGAAGTGTGATGGTGCAGACACTCTCCAGAACCCTTAAACTTTTTTGTCGTAGTGCAGGGAATTTCTTAAGAAGGAAATTCCTAAGAATGAGCTCCGCTTTTTCACCAGGTTCTCTGATTTGAGCGTTTCCAGTCTGCTTTGCATAGTTTAACAGCTGCCCCGCAAGCAAGAAACCACTGTAGTTATTTTGAAGACACCTTGTTGGTGTTCTCTGGTCTGCAGCTGTGCTACATTTCTGCTCTTCCTGACCCCCGCTGTGAGCTCTTGCACGCTCCACAAATTAGAAGCAATTTCCCTGCAGTCAGGGCTTAAATGACAGTTAAACATGTGCCATTCTATTTTGCCAGATCAAGCCCCAAAACACGCTGCCTGGGGCAGCGTTGAAGCTGCTTTGGAGATGCAGAAGAGAAGGGTCCAATTCTTCCTGGATCCAGCAGGTTTTTGCCCATCTCTCGTTGCTGGACTACTGTGATTTCCTTGTCTGAAACGCGCTGTTGTGTAACGCGAACAAAAGCAGGAGCATGTGCAGCCCTCGCTCCCTGCAACTGTGTGCCACCACCTACAGAAGAGCTGTTTCGTCCAGCAGCTCTCCCTTGGCTGAGAGGGAAAGACTTGAACCAATGGCCGTGGACCCCGGGTGCAAGAGTCCCCACCGTGGGTACAGACAGAGGCAACACTTTTATGTTAAAACGTGGCCGAAATAGGTGCAAATAGCCGTGCTGCTCTGCGTGAGCACAGCAGGAGGAGGGAAGAGTCTTGGAAGAGAATTGAGGAGTTGTGTACAGCATGAAGGCAACACCATTTCCTTCAGCAAGGAAAACAGTCTGTGGAAAAGGCTTTGAGAAAAGGCACTGAGACCTTCACCTAGTTTTACTGCGAAGCAGCGTTCAGCTTAGATCCCGTCATGTCTTTCAGACGTACCTGAGGCCTTGTTGGTGTTGGCAGGAGGAGCCAGGGCCGATACGCCGAGCACAAGGGAGAAGCAGAAATGCCTGTGACAGCGTGGGGGGAATTCAAAGCGCCGGTATCTGTTGGCAGCTGGCTAGATAGCAAAAGGCAGATCTAATTCCCTCGGTGCCAAATGTGCAGAGCTACTGTTGTCCCTCAGCCAGATAATTGGGAGAGGATAAATTATCCAAACACAGCCAACTATCTATTCCCCACCCCCCTTTTAGCTGTCTTCAGTTCTGGATGTGGATTTTCACCCATCACTGCATGTCTGTTGATAAGGCACTCCTTGAAAACTCCAGTTCATCCTTGCTTGAGGCGGTTGCGCTAGATACACACACTACGGGACCAAGCAACTCCCAACAACAGTCTTGCATGGCCAAAAAAAGGACTTGTCCCAAGGTAAAAATGCAGCAGTGCCTACATGTTCCTAGCAAGAAAGGTTCAGGCCCGAGTGTGAATCCCTCCAGGGACTGAAATCGATCCTTGCTTCTGGATTTAGAACAAATCCATGACTTTTCAGAACCATCACATTTTTACAGCTTCTTGTTTTTTCCACGTGTAGTAGTCGTTGACGTGCAGCTCTGCTCAGCCCCGTGGCCACAGCTTCGCGCCGTCACCCTGCGTTAGCTGATGCCATGTGCTGCCTCTGGCTGCGGCGAAGCCTGCCCTGGCTCGGAAGAGTTGTGGGAGACGCGCTCCATTTCTCTGCCTGCGGTTTGGGGGTCTTTTTGGTTACCTGTTTATTGTTGTCAGTATTTGGCAGGAACAAGGAAGCCATTACATCATTTTGCTGTCACTCGGGAGGTCAGACTGGCTGGTGGTAGCTGCAGCGGTGTGTTTTGACCAGTGGCGTAGTGGGAGAAAGCGCAGGAGTCAGTGGATGTCCCTGTGCCTGTGCCGAGGCCCTGGGCGTACGGAGAGCAGCTACAACCCCACCATGGTCTGCCTTCCAACTCTGTAGCCTCCACCTTTTATGTGTCTATCAGAAAGTGGGTGTTTAGTTTCAAATAAATCCTTTAATTTGTTACGGTGCTTCTAAACCAATGGGTTAGACAAGGGATTCAGAGAACTTACACGACAGGGATGGGACTGTTGGGGCTAACAGCAAAGGGCATACAGAAATCCACGATAGAAAATAGAGACCCAAAATGGTGGTGGGGCTTTTGAACAGAGCTGTAATAAATTGGTGGGGCAGATAGTTACCCAAGGATGAGGTCTTTAAGCCAAGAGAGGTTGTCTTTTTGCATGACAAGCTCTACAGAGCACAAGGTAAAAGCCCTAAGACCGTGCGTGGCTGGCTGCCTCTGCCCTGCGTGCTGCAGGGTGGACAGGGTGGTGGTAACGCTGCTTGCTTAAACTAAGACCTGTGTTCAGAAGGGCTACATTTGGCTTAAGGAAAAAAATAATCAGAAGAAACACACAAAAGCCCCACATGAAACGTGCTCTGCCCTTCTTCCCAAACAGCTGTATCTTATACTTCTGTTGTGGCTGATTCACTTCCAGGTCCATCACCAGAGCCTACTACAGGAACTCAGTTGGCGGACTCCTCCTCTTTGACATTACCA